GGGGTGGCCCTCCGGCGTCCTGATGGCTGCTGCTCGGGGCGTTCGTAGTCGGTGGTAATGCGCCTTGCCCGTTGTTCAGTTAGGAGCTGAGAACGCAGACAGCATCGGTGCCGTGCTGAACAGCAAGGATGACCAGCGGGAGATCGCCGAGACGAGGGAAACGTGTAGGTCGGTATCGTCTGCGGCGTCCGTCGGGCCTTAGGGGGGTTAACGGCAACACGGACCTTTGAAATCGGGTGAGATTGCGCTCCAAAGAGCGAAGTAAAATCTTACCGTTTGTTTAAAAACATACAATTAAGTGAAAGAAAATGCTTTCGTTACTCAAATCTGAACTTTGAGTAAGGTGAATGGAGTTTAGTCATTTACTTCCAATAGCACTTTGAAAATAAAGGCTAAACTTTTGCTTCCTATGTTAAAAAGGTCCTGTGGAGCAAAACTGAGGTGTGAATTCAGAGTGTGCCACGTGCATTGGCCTGGAGCCTTTGTGCTTTTGCTAAGAGCAGTTACAGGGCAATTTAGTTTAAAAGTTCTTATGGAACAATAGGCGTGTCTAGGGCAGAGTAGCTTGTGTTTATTAATTCTCACATGTAACTAATTTTGTTCTGTGAGCAGGCCTGATTTTGTAGATGTACAGCTTTAGTTAAAACAGGCTGTACCTTTTAGAACAGAAAAATGAGGAAGCAAGTACCTGTTTTCAGGAATCCTGTCTTTAAGAATTGCTGATCACAAATATACTGAAAGGAACAACTTCTTGTATATGAAGCTTCAAAATAATTTCAAACTTGTGACAGAAACATGTAGTCAAGGCAGAAAATCAGATTTCTGAGATGTTCTCTCTGGAGAGAGAAACTATTTTATATGAGGATTTCTTTTGGATGGTTACAGGGCTGCTTATGACACTTCCGCACCAAATGCAAAACGCAAATACCCAGATGAGGGAGAAGCTGATGAGGAAGAGATTGAAGAATATAAGGTAAGAAAAAAAAGGAAAAAAATTGCTTTTCTCTGGTGTTCACGTATCTCTGAGGGACTTCTAAAGTATGTGTGTGTGCACGTATAAATAAAAATAAGTGTGATATGTATAGATACTTTAAAATAGATGTTCCTCAGTGGCATCTCCCGTGATGTCTTCCAGTGCAGAGAGCTAAGAGAGGGGGCAGAGATGCGAAGTGGTTCTCTTCAGGTCTGGCTTGGGGGCGTTGAACTGTACACGCACCAGAACCCAGTGTTCAGAGGCTTAATGTGGTGCTGCTGAATGGTGGTGGTGCCCACAGGGAACGGCAGTGTGCCATGGCTGGCTGTCTTGGATGGGAAGAAGCGGGAAAATGTGTGCGTGCTTGGGTATACACACAAAAAAATCTTGACCGGGATTTCTTTGTGTCGGAAGAAAAGCTTGCGTGTAGCAAGAGGCCTGGGCTGCTGGGTGAAATATGGGGAGGCTGAGAGTGTCTTCCAACCTTCCTGCGAAATGCAGAGGAATGCGGTTCTGGATGAATGGAAGAGGCTTGGTTTGGCGTATGCTTTAAGTACCCAAAATATCCGGGAACAGTTTGTTTTTTAAAAAACAAACAAACAAAACAAAAAAACCCCAACAAAACAAAGCAAAACGCCTCTGTGGTCATTGAAGAATGAGTGGTTGTCAAGCTGTCATGCCCTTCATTTTTCAAATGCTCACCCAAGAGCTATTAGATAGCTTACGTGTTTCGTGTCTAATGTGATGTTTTGGCCAAGATGGGCGATAGAGAAAGGAGGTTAAACAAAGGCATGATTATGATACAACTGTCTTTTCTGATTTGCTTTGTGATCTTGTTGCAGTATATATCCTCCTCCCTCTCCCTTTTTTCCTTGTCTTAGTAACCTTGCTTCTGTGGTTAAGTGGAATCAAGGTTGGTGCACTTATGAAATAATGCAGTGTGTCTCCTGTTCTCTTGGATGCCTAAAAATAGTAGTTTTTTAAATATGAGGCCTTGGTAGTGTTACATTTGTGTTCAGGTTTATAAATCCTTCTGTAATAATGTCTATCTTCTGTCTTACTGAAACAAAAAGTTGATGTATGTCAGGATGGGTTTTGATGACTAATTTTAAAGTCTATCTGTAAACGGACAGACATTCATTTTAACATGCTACTGTACATCTTGTTTAGCAAACCAGTTAAGTCACTATCTCAAAGAAGGGACTAACGTGCACTATTTGTGGAGGGGGATTTTTATGGTCACGTTAGTGATCAGTTCTTACCAGTTTATTTTACTCTTTCACCAAGTATGTGGTTAAGCAGCTGATGTTTTTTCTCTGAATATATGTGGATAAGTGACCTCAGCTGGCCAAGCATATGGATCTTACCATTGACATTTTCTTCATTAGCGTGGAGAAGGCTTACCGTGAGGTGGTCTGTAACCACTTGCAAATGGCTAGGCTCTTGCTGTGTTGTTGAAACTGAATAATATTTTAATAATACTAGCTTGGGCCAACTTCAGTTGAGCGGATGAATAGATTTAAGAAACTTGAAACCCCCAAGTAGAACATCTATAGTGGAGCCATTAGCTGTCTTCTGCAGACATTGCTAATTCCCTGTTGGCGAGGAGATAAGAACTTAGTAAGACCCTGTCTGTATTTCTGTAACTTTTTCCTTAGTACTTTGAGCCTCTTTAAATTTAGTCTTGAAATATGAACTGATGCAAAAATCTAGGTCCTTACAGTACCAAGCCCTGTTGGATTGTGTTTAATACTCCTTAGACAAAAATAATAATAGCATTAACTATTAATGTTGCAGATAAATGTTGCGAGTTTGTCAGTTTTGTTAGGGAAATCAGAGGTATTTCTGATGCAAAGTGACCTGTATGTCTCTAAAACCCTGACTTGCAGTGTTGGGTTCTCTGTGATGGTGTCGGTTGATCATTCTGAAGTGGTTTAAAATTTTTGTGCCCTGAGTTTGGATTTGGTGGAAATTAACGTGTCCTCAGACATCACCTGCTCTAGCTGGAGCCTGAGCATTTTGCTGTAATTGCTGGTGAAGAGGGGTCACTGTGAAGATACCACATTGTTGTTACTGTGGTGCAGTGTGATGGTGCAACATCTGCAGGAATAGTGTGGGCATGTGGGCGTGAAACCTTAAAACGAATGTAGTTGGGTATTTTAGAGGATTTCCATCAGTTTCTAATATTCCAAATGGAAAGTGAAGTGGGCTGATGGCACCTAAGTGCCCTGTGCTGGTATTTTGAGAGAAGGCTGAACAGTGGTGCTGATTTTTTGTTATAGGGGGGAAGTGTGAGAGCAGTTTTTGAGATGAAAGGTGAAGTATGTTAATCTTCTCAGCCATTCTGATGCAAAAAAGGCGATTTGTTTTTTTCCTTTTTGTGTTTTTGTTGGTGGTTGTTCTTGTGTAGAGTAAGTGTAAATTTATAGTGACAGTTCTTAATAAGCATCAGGCTGATATGAAAATGAAGGGCAGTAAGGCTGCTCGTTGAGCTTCCTTGCAAGCCACAGAGGTGGGAGATATGGAAAGAGATGGATTATTGACAAAAATTAATAATGAATATCATAAGGTCAGAAAGTTGAATTGTGGTTCTAAAGAACTTATACATTACTCTTGTTTTTGTGGAACTGTCACAGTTGTGCTAGGGTTAGCTGAGCTCCCTGGTCTCTATTTGGACGTGACAGATAGTGGGACTAGACTATCTGCTGCCACTCCCAGGCTTTTCACAGCCTTCCCAGAGTTGTGGGTGTTGCTCTACCTCTCCCCTTCCCCAGGTGAATTTACTCAATTGTTTGAACCTGGATGAACGTCTGGTAGCAACAGTGTTCTGTGACAGAGTGTTAACTTTGTATGAAGTACAGAAATACGCCTGGTTCACATCTGCTGTCTGCCAGCCCAATTTGACCCAGCCCTCTTTTACTTGGTTTCTGCAAGCGGGGCCCTGCGAGCTTGGAGCACTTCCATGCCATTGTTCTGAGGCTGAAAAGATCTGACTTGGTTGGATCATGCTTAATGCTGGGAAAAACTGTATGCCTTAATATTGTGGGTAGTTTTTGTTTCCCTAACTCAGCAACAATATACCAGATTTGGAAGCCAAGGATGGTTAACGTACAAGAATGCGGTGTCTTGTATTATTAATAATTTTGTTCTGTCTCTGCTTTGACTGTGCCCTTTTCCCTTTGAAAGTTGTCGATGTGGGCTTTTTGTTTGTGGCCACAAGACCTTTTTTTTTTTAATCTTTAAGTCACTTGTGAAGGCATAAAGAGAACTGGGATGGCTCAGAAGTAGGTATCTAACAAGTGCTTATCAGAAGGCTAAGATTTAGAGGAAGATGGAAGGGGGCAAACTGGTGTAAACTTATGGTGGCATAAGCAGTTTTTAGTAAAACTCAATGTTTCAGCTTTTTTTTTTTTTTTTTTTTTTGTCCCGAACACCACTGCTGCTGGTCTGCTCTTCATTCCTGTTCCTTGTAATCGCTGCAGCTGTTTCTGGTAGTAATCTTGTCTTTTTGATCTGGTTAAACAAAGACAGGCTGTATCTCTGAGTTCTTCACCTGAATAGCGGGGAGGGGGAATCTGTGACCTCCTAGTCACACAGTTGGTTCAAAGCTCCAATTTGGAAAGAACACAGGCTGTACTTCAAGGTTTCCATAGCTAGAGGGATCAAATAGGGAGAACACTTAATCTTTCATTGCACATTCAGACAGCTTGTGTAGCATAGGGTAAATGTTGCAGTAATAATAACCTCTTCTCTGCATCTTTTGACTGAAGATGTGTGTTGGGAGGGAGAAGCTGAGTTCTTTTATAGAGAAACCTGGTTCTCTATTTTCCCTTTTACTTTAGTGTGTTAAAATGTCTTTTTTTTTAATATTTCAGCCTTGAGACTGCTTTTCTGCTCACATGAAGCACTATATTAACTGATTAAGATTTCTGTTTTAATCAATAATGTATGAAAGACCATGTGCATCCTACTAAAATATGGTAGAAGATCTTATTTAGTGGTTCTTCAGTTTTATTTATATATATACTCTATATATATTGGGTTGTTTCAGGATCGATAGGAAAACAGAAAATGTTGTGAAGCAGCAAGTCTTTTTTTGTTTCTGTTCAGTGTGGGATGTTCGGAGTGTCAGTGTGACAGATCTCTGAATTACAGAAATCGATGAAGAACCAGTTGGTGACGCACTAACTGGGGAAGAAATTGCAATACAATTCCTGTTTTCTGTGCATTTTGAGACTACAAAATGGGAATTTTAAAGTTACTTTTAAGGACAGTCCAAGTGAGATGCTGGCTTGTACCATGTGCTCTTTCTGCAAAGTGTGGACTTTAACAGATTTGTCTAGAGAAGATAGTTTCAGCTGCGAAGGTTGGAACATAGGAGATGATTGAGTGGATATGAATGTTCAAAGGTTTTACTACAGAAGAACTCAACAAAATACATCATTTGCTTTAGTCCAAGGAGTGAAATTTTGGGGGGGACACAAAAAATTAAAAGCTCTACACCTTGTAGAGCACTGCCTACACTGTCAGGGTCTAGAAATGAATTATTTTGTTCTTCTTTCAGAGGCCTTTCCCAGCAACACACTCCTTAATGAGAGAGGGGCAGACCTTTTGGGCAGTAGGTAGAGTTTTTTCCCCTCCAAAACTGGAGTTGGAACCATTCATGATCTGCTGCTTTAGGAGACTTCTGTTTGTAGACAGCTCACTTCTTCCCTTATGAAGCAGAATCATCATGAGGAGAGAAACAGCATGATCGTGCATAATTGTAGTATCTGCTTTATTTCCAAGGATGAAGTAGAGCTGCAGCAAGATGAAGAGAACCTGCCCTATGAAGAAGAGATTTACAAAGATTCTAGTACCTTTCTTAAGGTGAGCTGCTTTTGCAAATAGAAGTCTAGTCAAAGCTGGCATAGTCGTGTTAAATGGTTTCTGATGTTGATGGCATTTGAAATACAGCTTTAAAGGCTGAAGTAATTCACTGGATTTCACAAGTATGGAAGCTTCTTGTGAAAGATGCTACTGTAACTAGTGTTTACAGTGATCTGGCTGAAGATCTGAGCCAGCTTACAATGAGCCAGGGTAATGGTGGGCTGATTTGGAACTGAAAACACAGTGATGGTCTTGGCTTGTATAGCTTATAAAGGCATGTTGAAAAGAAAAAAATAAATAAAAATCTGTTACCTTTTCATTTATCAGACGGGGGAGCTGTGTGTGTGTACGTCAGGTATCTCCCCATTGCTCTCGCTGAACTCCCTTTTGTTCCCCAGGGTACTCAGAGCTTAAATCCACACAACGATTACTGCCAGCACTTCGTGGATACAGGACACAGACCCCAGAACTTCATCAGAGATGTTGGTATGTGTAGTCTGTAGCTGTTTGAAGATAACTCACTTTATTCAACAGCGCTGCTTTTCCTTCCCCTTTTTAATTCCTTACAGTTACTGGGAAATGTAGATACACATGTACTTCGTAGTTTTGTCTCTCTGTGTGCATGCATATCAATATATAAATTTATATGAATGACTTTATTTTTACTCAGGAGGTGATTATTAACAAGGCTCTTTTTACTCTTGGTTTTATGTGAAAGTATTTAACCAGGAAGATTTTTTTTCAAAACTAAGCTCCTTTGGTTCCAGAATGTAGATGAGTCTAGTGACCAGATCTTGAAACCTTTGGAAGTTTGAATAAATGACTTACAGTTCAGCTGTTTCTTGGACTGCATTGCCTCCAAGAATGCATGTAGCATGTAAAGTATGGAAAATGCTTATATTTAAGTCAGTAAGCAGTATGGATAATATTTACTAGCTAAATTATGTGACTGCTGACAACTCATTAGAAGGCCCAGCTTATTATTGAGTTTAGAGGATGTTATTTTTTAAGTTTATGTTCATCTAGCCATCACTGAAATCTTACCTTATTAGGCCTGAATTTAATCTTTCTAAAACTAAGGTACGGTTTGGTCCTGTTTCCCAGAACAGGTGCTGGGTAGTCATTTCATTTTTAAAAGAAGCAGGACACCTCCCGGTGCAGTTTTCTGCAACAGTTCTCTGTATTTTATTGAGTTCAGGACTGTCAGGACAAGTGTGGTGTGTTTATAGGTGCCAGCCCAAAGAGGTTTTGATTGCATGTTGAGACAGTTAGTTTGTTTCTTTTCTGTATTTTGTGAATGCCTCTGTGAAACACATCTGGATGTTTAGTATGAAAAATGGGCTGTCTTGACTTTATGTCTCTATCTGAAAAGCACCTGGGCTTCACAGTTAGGTGCTTGAAATAGTTATCACTGTTCTTTGACACGAGTTGAGTACCAAGAAATAGCAGCCCTTGTTATTTACTCTGGCTTCGCTGCTGCGTACAGAACTGGGAGGGGACAGGACAGAGGTAATACGGAGATGAGCGTGTCAGCAGCCGTTAGCCTGGGCCCCTCCTTAGAGCTGAGTACGTCAGGCTGCACGTTGGTTAGCGTGTGTTTCCTATGTGGTGATCAAAACTAGGTGCTACTTCCTAACTGGGCACGACCTTCCCAAAAGGGAAGTGGTGGTTCCAGAGCACCCAGCTCTAGCTTTTTGATGTTGCTGTTGGAGAGGGAGAGACCTATGGGTTTTGTTTTGGTCTGGTGGTGGGTGGTTGGTGGGTTGTTTGGGTGTTTTTAGAACAACTGAAGTCATGTCAACTGAAAATTCTTTTAGGTCTGTTGCTAACCTGCTGATAACTGGCTTCCGTTTCTGCTGGTCAGGAGCATTTGTATTTGACTTGCACTGGCTGGAAGCGACACAGCAGCAGAAATCAGAAGAACACAGTGGTGTGTTTTTTGTATTTAAGGAAAAGAATGAAAGTAACTTTTGGGTGGTTTATGCGCATGTAGTAAGAGATAATAAGGTTAGGTACTAATAACTTTGCGTTTACCAGTGAGATGCTAGGGTTGGGAGTTCAGAAGTTTGAATTAAAATAAGGAGAGGGATGGAGGGTTGTGGGGTTTGTAGGTTTGGGTGGTTTTTTTTGTCCCCCGTGGATTAGGACCATTTAAAGTTGTAAATTTAAATGAACACAAAGCTTTGTAAATATTAACTCCCACTAAGGTTGAATGGCTTGGGAGGTGGGAATGGCACCTTTTTGGTTTGTGCTGAGCCTGTCTCTGCTTACATTTTTGGAGGGGGAATGTAATATGCTGAAAATTTGCCTGTTTTTTTTTTCTTTTTTTAAAAACGTTTGCTGCAGAAAGTCCGATTAGGGTTCTCCCTTTTACATTCTGTACATATGAAGGGCTTGAAAACTATCACCATAAAGCTAAGGCTAGAAACCCAATACCACCTGTATTCAGATCTTCACAGCTGACAGCAGAGTACCAGATCTCAACGTATGGATTGCATAAGGGAGCCAGCCACACCCCATTTACTGCCTTAGAAATAATCTTCAGAGGTTAATAAGAGTATTCAGTAACTGAATGTTAATTAGATTTTAATATAAACTTATGGATGGGGGAATAACAAAATAACTTTCTCTCAGCATTCTGGCACTTTTAGTTTAAATGAAAGATTGTTTCCCTCTGATGAAAGGAGTTGTGAACTCCTGATCACTGTAGTGCCCTAGAGAAGATTAGAGCGTAGACACTGCAGTCAGTAACAGCCGTAATGAACTGGGTGAAGGCAGGCGGCTTTTGTGAAGTACTGAACAAAAACTGCTTTGAAAGGTTTGGGTGGTTGGAACAAAAATTAAAATGAGGCTAAGTGTTAACATTTGGACCTATACAGAATACTGGACAATGCTTAATTGATACAGATTTACTCTCTAAGTAGTTGTTAACTTCATGTTTTCTTCTTCTTAGGCTTAGCAGATAGGTTTGAAGAATACCCAAAACTTAGAGAGCTCATCAGATTGAAGGATGAGCTGATATCTAAATCTAACACTCCTCCCATGTAAGTGTTCTTGTGGAAAATGCCTTTCTTCTCCAGACCTGTTTGAAGTTAGCTGTCTGCTTTGCAAATCTCTATCTTTAGCACCTGCTCAGAATTTACATTTCCTATTTCTGTTTGTGTATACATATTAATCAATTGAAACTTCAGAAGAATAAAATCAGTTTGGTTTTGTTAGTTTGATCCAGATGTTTAATATAGTATATAAACTAGATTTTCGTTCCGGTATGTGATTATTTATAGTTTCTAAAGCTTTGGTTTTAAGACTGAACTGTCAACTGATTGGGCTGCAGGCTTTAGTTTGGGAACTAAAAGAACATTGTATGATTGTGAATCTCGTGATGATATGCAGCTTGCAGTAACAAGAAAAGCTTAAAAAAAATTGCCTCTTAATATAGCCTTAGTTGTTCCTGTAACAGCTTTTTTGTATGATGTTCAGCTATTATCTTAGTATCCGTTAATCAGAGGTTACTTTGTAGTTCAAGACCAAAAAAAGCTTAGGCTGGCTGGAAGTGATGTGTCCTAATACCTTCGAAGTACCTCCGAGTTTTTGCTGAACGTTAGGCGCAGTATAAGCGTGTAGCCTGGTAGTCCCAGGAATTCGAACCGATCTGAACGTGAACCTAATGCTTTTACTAAACCATAGTCCTAATCTGTACGGAGTGAAATAGCATGATTTCGTGGTAGTCACATGAACAGCTCTGAAACAGTTGTCTGAACAACTGAGATTAAAATAGCAAGTCGAGTTTTGCAGTTTGTAAGTTAGGTGCGTTTTGGCATTTTCAGACATAAAGCACAAAAGGGGAGAAAATAGTAATCAAATGCTGTCCTCTGATAATACCAGATACACTTACTGACTAATAATCTCTTCCAGACACTTTCTTGGGAAGGGGGACGTGGTGGTCTGCTCACCAGCTTTTTTAAACGTAAAGGTGTTGAGGCGAGGGCAGTGTAATTTTTTGATAGCGAGACAGCAGTGAGTGGTGGGCAGGGGTGGAGGCCAGTCGTAAGAGCGCGTTTGAGTGTGTATTCGACAAAACCAATGTGTGTGGGAATTACGCTTTTGTTACTGGGATGGAGAAATAAGTTTCTACTGTATGAAAAATAACAATTGCAGTATTTGGAATCTTCTGAACATAAAATATAATACATGGCATTTCTAAAAATACGCCACTCTCCTGAAGTGAAGCAAAGCAGGAGTCTGTTAGCCAGGCAGTGCGTGTTTGCTTCCTAAATGTGGATGTTTTCTCCTATCTAGTCCGTGGACGTACAGAAAGTTCAGTGATTTTGTACTAGCTGTCGTTGTACAGTCTGGGCGCCTGTTTCCTGCTTGCTAAATTAGAGTCCTAAGAACTGTTTATTGAGAGAAAGAATACTTTTAAAAGAAACATCCAGCATAGGTGAAGTGAGAATGTGTCACGTGTCTCCTCTGGATTTAGTGCACTTGAGCTGTATGAACTGCCCAGGAGACCCTGCTCTAAACAGGCCGCACAGAAGTGCTGCGTGGGGTGTACTTTTCAAAGCACTGTTAGAACTTGTCCAAGCAATCTGTCGTCTTTTGTTCAAACAGGTACTTACAAGCAGACTTGGAAGCTTTTGATATTAGGGAACTGAAGTCCAAATTTGACGTGATTCTCCTGGAACCACCACTGGAAGAATACTACCGGGAGACTGGCATTACTGCCAATGAAAAGTGCTGGACCTGGGATGATGTAAGTATTTTTCTTGCTGTGAAAAGGATTTAATACATGTATTTAAGCAAGTAATTCGGTATCAAAATGTTTGAGAAATGTGTTTTAGGGAAAAATGGTGTATGGTTTTTTAAAGAAAGTCTAGATTCTTACAAAAACTTAAGTTTTATGTAATATGCTTGCCTGCACTATTTCTGTTGAAAGACTTTTTTTTTTGAGGAGTTTAATCAATTAAATACTCCTTTCTGTTCTCCCTGAGCCTGGTTGAAAACTTAAATCTAACAACAGTGGGTTTTCTCCCTACCCTCAAATTCCATGAGTTTTCTTTTCTGTTTGGTTTTTGCTGTTGAAATTTAGAATATCCATTGTAAGTATTCCCTTGTTTCTTAAAATTTTCAAAGCCATTTTTAAGGTATGATTGTTAACACAGTGGTCTTCTGGTCAAAAGAGGAGATGGGTATGCTTCATTGACATACCTCCTTTCTCCAAAGTATTGATTGGGTAGGAAATTTTAACAATCAGCCACTTGTAATCCTGAGAAGCCTAACAAAATCTTCCTTGTGGAATTTTTTTTTCTTGTATTTATGTATTCCCTTACTGTTTAGTCATGGTTTTTTTTTTTTTGAAGCCATGTTGATTTCCGATCCCTTATTGGGAACAAGGAGAAATCTTAATATGCAAGACATGATCTTTTTCAAGGTTGCTGGTGGTGCTCTTGTTTTATTGTGCTCTGGTAAACATTTGGAGAATTGAGTTAGAGAAAAGATTGTAAAGTTCTTCCTGCTTGTAGAGACAGAAATGCTCAAGATGTATTATTGATAAGTAACTCCATTCTGTAGCTTTCCCTTTTCAATAAAGTCGGCTCTGGAAAAGCAAGGTGAGGGCTGGAGGCTATGAAGTGCTGGATGTCATCCAGCATAAATTTGATGACACAGCCTGCTGCCAAGTTGCTCTGGCCTTCAAGATTGAACTGGAGAATGCCTTCACGTGGGCATTGAATAAAAAACCTTGTAATGCTAATGTCAAATAGTGATAAATTGGCTCTGCTCTATGTGTCTGTGCTTTACTCATTAAAAAAACCCCAAGAACAAACCCACAAACCAGTGAAAACCAACCGAACCACCCAATCCTCACAAAAACCAGACCATCTGTAGTAGAGAGGAGTAGCTGATCAAAACAGTGTTCGCATAACCACGTCAGGAGTGCCGAGGTTCAGGCGTATGGGTGGGCATATGCAACTAATAAGCACCTATCCCTTAGAGACCCTGTTCGAAAGGTTTGCAGGGCTATGTCTGCATTAGCCGCAAAGTTGTCCTAACATGAGTGAGTCAGGAGATCGAAGCCCAGATTTTCTGTCTCTGTTCTGTGCAGTTTGGGGGAGGGCGATGATGGTGTTACTCTAAACTAGATTTAATTTGTCCTCAGGCTGAAACCTGCACGTGTACAACTTCAGAAGGAAATTAGTCAAAGTAAAGGGTCATGAGACTGAAATAAAACTCAATCCACCTGTAAGGAAAGGATTTGAAAACAAAGGCATCCCTGCCTGTGGTAAGAGCCCAGGTGACTCCATGTTAAGGAATAGGTAGCGCCTGCGTTGGCCCTTGTGTTATGCAAGGGAAAAACGGTGCCTGGCAGCGTTGCCTGGGGAGAAAACATTCCGTCCTAACAGGAAAACTGGAAGTGTTGGAGGCAGGAGTCATCCTCTTGGCTGGGAGTTACATCCTCTTAGAATGGCTTCAGCTGCATTATCTTTCTTCACAGTGGTGCTGAATGAAGCTTGATTTGATGTGTTAGCAAGTGAGGGATGAATCTTTCCAGCTTGAAATGAGTAACAGATGCTTTGCATCTGAAGTTATTTCATCCCGAATGTTACTCAGTTGTCATTGTTGAACCGCTGTCCTGATAAATTCTTGCTGCTTTTTTCCTGAAAGTGAAAATGCAGAGAATGTGTTTCCTATGTAGTAATAGGAATTAAGCTGGTGTTTTATAATGTGTCTTCACCAGCTTCACGTAAGTAACTCCAGGGCTGAAAAGAAACAGAGCACTATTGCTCTGTTAGTAAATCTTTTTGCTACCGATGGAATGAGAAAATGAAGTAGAGGTTTAGGAGGAAAAAAAAAAATCATGGGTTCTATTAGTCTTTCAAGTCTAGAATTTTCTATGCAGATAGGATTTCTGTTAGAAAGAGTAATTAAATTGAAAACATGCACTCAGGTACTGATAAGGTAACTTTTACAACATACTTTCTAGAAAACAATTTTGAGGACAGCTGTGAATGGTGTACAGACTAACAACTTTAATAAAAGTGCTTCCTGATGGTTTCTGTGATAATGCTTCAACGCTTATTGAGCGTTCTTCCTGGTATAACTAGTGATTTATATTTAATTCAGAAACACTTTTATTATTATTAGATCATGAAATTGGAAATTGAAGAAATTGCAGCCCCAAGGTCATTTGTGTTTCTGTGGTGCGGTTCAGGCGAGGGTCTGGATCTTGGCCGAGTGGTAAGATGATGTTTTAATTCAATTTATCGGGGACAGGCTTAAGAGTTTATTTTTATCGTTGGCTTTTTCTGTATAGAAGTCTCAACTGTAACCGCTGAGAGATGTTTTGTTATTGTGGTAGAAGATACATAATTTTAAGTGGATTAAATAAATTTAAATGTATTTGGCATTAACTGTTTAGGTACTGGTATTTTCCAGATAAGTCGCTGTGACTCTGTGAGGAAGCGTAATCCTATAGGGTCTAAAAAGCTGTACTGCTGTCTTGTTTTTGATGTGTGTGTGTTGCCGTAGGAGCAGGTTGCCATGTTGAGTGCATTTACATTACTTTTTTTTTTTTTTAACAGAAGTCTTGATGGTTTTTCTGTCAGAAATATTCATGCTAGTAGAAAGGTGCTACTGTTTCATAAAGTGAGATAAAATTGAGTGTGAGGCACTGCTTAGTTTCAGAAAACACCTGATTTACTCTTAGCGAGCTCTACGAAGTTTTACTTTCTTGTAAGATCTTGGAGTTTCGGAGTCGTCTCTGTATGCCGGGGTGGCGCTGCTTGTGTTGGGGACGGTGAATAGGGATTTCCAGTTGGCTCTTGCTGGGCTGAAAAGTTCTTTGCTTAGTTTGAGCAGTGCTTCCCGTTAAAACAGTTTGTGAAAGGACCACGTGTGGTTACTAATCTGCTTTTATCTGCTTTTCATTCTGAGGTAGGTTAAAGTAGCTCTTTCGGATGGCTTGACTTTGGTCATAGACATATTTGTAGTAGCTGGGCAGTTCTTGGCCACAGCAATAGCCAAATGAGCTCGAGTCCTCAATGCCCAATTTCCTCTCTTTCCAAGACTACACTTACAGGAGTTAAGGATTAAAGAGTCATGTAAGGTGGTTTGGGATTTTCTGTGTGGGTGTGGTTGGTTTTACAGACACAGGAAACCCCACAGAATGGTAGCAAAGGCTTTTGGCTGTTTATCTTTCTGTTCCTAGAGCTTTGCATTGATGTGAAAAATGACCACAGTGCAGGTACGAGTGGAGACAGGGCCAAGGCAGCTGATCGCTACGCTGCTCAGACTGATTTTGATTAAGTTTAAGTGTCAAGGTAAAAATGAGTGCAGAGTTCTGTAGGGGGTCTGTGCAGTGGTTGGATATTTTAAAAAACAAAAAAAGGGAGGGTGTGTGCAATATGTAGACAAGTCGATGTGCACATAAGCCTCTCTATTTTTTTTTTGGGCCAGCTTGACAAAACATAGTACAGCCATACCAGTGACCTGTTTCATTCCTCTGTGACAAATTTCTCTTCCAGCTGTGCTTTGAGAAGTCAAGTACCTGTATGAGCGTTCAGTTTAGGTTACTTCAGTTTTTGGTGCAGTGCGAACTGTTTTATCTGTCTGTAATATTTAGTGTCTACGCAAATGGGGTTACAGAAGATGTGAGGACATTTGTTGGATTAAAACGAATAAGAACAATCCTGGAAAGACCAAGACTCTAGACCCTAAGGCCGTTTTCCAAAGAACCAAGGTAAAGATTTGGCTCAATTTCTCCTCTGTTCCTATCCTGTCTCTTCATGCTGATGAAACACCTGGTGCCCTACAGCCGTTGGTGACGTGCTTTCAGGAAAGCAGAGTGCCAAGTTCTGCTCTGCCAAGTGCATGATACGGCAATAAGCATATTCATAGGATGAATGATGACCTTCTGTCCCCTTCGTGACTTTAGTCAGCATGAAGTATAGAAGTTTCATCTGCATTTAGCACTGCTTGGTGAATTTCTGTTGTAGGCCTTCAAATGTGATACTATTTTGAGCCTTGTTGAAATGCAGGTACCTGAGGAGGGTTCATAGACTGATGGAACAAGAATGAAAACTGAATAGAAAACGTTACTGTACGTCACAGTGGTTTTGACTTCTGGGTGGTTCCAGTGATGGGTGAACAGTAAATAAGCAGTCAGTCTGTGAGCAATACCTCTTGGGTAAAACGCGGGCTCCTTTCCAGATTAGAGGAGAAAACTTGCTGGCAGAGGAATGCCTTTTGAAAGGAACTAAAGTTAGCAGTAGAATCAGACTAAATCCAATGTCAAAAGCAGTCTTTAAAAGTGTAGGTTATGAATGGATGCAGTCATAAAAAATAACTCTGGACGTCAATGCACATGTGCAGGTGTGTGCCCAGAGCCTGAACTGGGTGGAGGACTGTTAGGGACCAGAGCTCAGTCAGCATCTCCTGAGTTCCTGAAGGTGACTGTGATGCACAAGTGACAGAATCGATCAACTTGGTTTAAATTAAGCAGGTTCTTAGGGATGTGTTGTGGAGAACGTGTATTGAGGAAGGTGTGGAGAAGAGAACGTACTCTGTTTTAAGAGACTCAAATATAGGTTATTCAGAAGCTTAGAAAAATGTAGATAGGATTAATACAGAATTGTTTTGGGTATGTGTGGGTGTAGCTGTGGCAGTTTTACTGAATACAGAGAGCTGGCTGACAGTTTAATAATTTAAAGTGTCATTAGCCTCAGGACTCATTCCACATCCGTTAATCATTCCTTAGTCTGAAACATCCTCAACTCTGTCTGATTTGCCATTTTTTAGGAGTATAAACTTCCCTTTAAGATAGATGAAATCTTTCTTTGACTTGCATTTAGATTAATCTGAAGTTTGTTTGAAAGTGTGTTGTATTAGTTATAAATATTTACACTTAGAAATATTTATATGTTTATTGCATATAGTATTGCAAGTATGTGCAGCTCACTCATGAGGGAGAGGTTAAAAATAACACAGGAGGATTTGGGGGGGGTTTATGTCCTTTGTTTAACGAAGGAGACCAGTTTCTGGTACTAGAGAATTTCTCTGTTTATTGAGCAAGGGTTGGGCTGAGGCCAGTATTTATAATAAACATTGAAAACCAAGCTAGGTTATTGTGACTGACTGAAATAGTCTGTTGTGCAAGATGTGTCTGTCTACCAGTGATCACAACAGCAAATGCTCTCCTGTTACGTGTAGTGCGGGCATCTCTCTCGATGGGTGCTTCAGCTGTGCCACCTGTTACAGACTCTGAGGTACCAATGAATGACATGCCGTGTGTTACAGAAACAAAATGTTTGGGATCCCTCTTCTAAAGACGAGGTTTACAAGGCTTTGCTTGATGGGCGATTTGCTGGGCAGTGATCTGCCTTTTCACTTAGTTAACTCTAAGGTCCGAAAACCCTGTAGCTTGGGTGCGGTTGACCAGCTGCATCGATTTGATAGGTCACCTTTCTGCCTTTCGTGTTTATTCACTAGCTCTCAAAACCTTTGCCAATCATCTAGAAATGATTACGTGGCTCTTGTCTGCAGCTTTTTTTAGAGCCATCTGGTGGCGCTTTGTGACTCAGTGTTTTATGATGGTGAGGAAGGTCACTCATCTGAGTTCAATATTCCCAGAAGTGAATATGTAGAACCCTCTTTTCATCCTGTACTAATTGCAGTGATTCCTCATTCATAGATTCTACACGCGAGTCACTTAAATTGACCTAGAGTGTTTTAGAGGAAAGGAAAGCATTGCATATTACAGTTAAAGACCTCTCCAATGCTGATGGAGTTGATATGGTAGTTTTACTTTTTTGATGCAGAGATATCTTCTAGAAAGGAATCTGGGGGTGAAGGTACTTTTGTAACAGAGGTACAATATGAAAAAATAAATCTTATTTTCACTGACTGGCTGTCTTATGGCTGAGAGCTTTGAAAATTATTTGTATGAATAAAGTTAGGATGAGAATGCTGACACAAGTATTAATCATAATAACTATTGCTTTACTCTTGCCATCACCTTGTGTTCTTTCTCCTTGTGGTGATTTCTCAGCCTTTCCAACTTGCAGCCCTAACTTCGCTGTGATTGAAGAAGTCCGAATATCTTCTGTCCGCCTCCATTTGAGTTTTACCACTTTGTAGTGTAGTTGATCAGGCCAGATAGCTTAAACTACTCTGCTTTGTTTTTAAAAGGCTCTTTTGGTAGCTCCAGCTTGTTCTGTTCTTCTAGTTCATGCTTCAGACTCTACTCTGTGCGAGAGCAGGACCTACTCTGCCTAGAATTTCCTTTTCTCTGTCCTGCTGAGACCACAGACACCTGTGCTGTAGCAGCGTGTGACAGGTACGCTTCTGTGTTCTGTGTGCGTAGGAGCACTCTGCTTTGTTTTTAAAAGGCTCTTCTGGTAGCTCCAGCTTGTTCTGTTCTTCTAGTTCATGCTTCAGACTTTACTCTGTGCGAGAGCAGGACCTACTCTGCCTAGAATTTCCTTTTCTCTGTCCTGCTGAGACCACAGACACCTGTGCTGTAGCAGCGTGTGACAGGTACGCTTCTGTGTTCTGTGTGCGTAGGAGCACTGCCTCATGGGCATCAAAGGAACTGTGCGTCGCAGTACGGATGGTGACTTCATCCACGCTAATGTTGATATCGACCTCATCATCACAGAAGAGCCTGAAATTGGCAACATAGAAAAGCCTGTAGAGATTTTTCACATCATTGAGCATTTCTGCCTGGGACGCCGCCGCCTTCATCTTTTCGGAAGGGACAGTACGATTCGACCAGGTAACTGTTATGTTTATTTTTGTCAAATAGTTAAACTTTAATTTACTTTAATAACCCTCTTCCGTCATCTGAGGCCACTTGATGGGGGGTTCTGATGGAACCAGAGACAATAATGGTTAATCCCAGTGCATGATTCTTCTGCCAGGACTTGCACCAGCTGAATAACCGTGTATTTTTTTTATGTATAACCCCATTTCCCCCACCATGGGATTATGATACCACATAAAGCCAGGTGAGCTTTCTTCTCCACAGTGGCGACCTCTCCACAGTGGCAGTCTAGTCAGGAGTGAGAAAATGTACTGGATGGAGAAATTTCCCATGTTTCCTACCCTCCCGTTCAGACAACTAACCAGCCGAATGCTCAGCAGCAGAGGGGTTGTGGCAGAGCTTGACGGTTCTGCCAACACGGTGACAGTAGCCAGGTGATTTCTGCTCTAGTTCATGTTCCGTCCCTCATGATCAAATAGCAGAAAATTTTGCTAGAACGGAAGATCTCACGTGTGTATTTTCTTAGCAAGAACGTCTGTCTGAGGGCGATCCTCAGCCTGTGTGGCAGGAGCCTCATACAGAGCCCTATGAAGTGGTACTACGGTTTGGTTATAATTTCTGTTGTTGTTATGTTTGGGAGCAAGACCAAGTCGCAAATGCAGTTTGCCACTGTGTACTGTTAAGTTTTGTTTTATAAATACTCATTTTTAGAAGTAAATATTGCTCGAACAGGACAACCTCTACACTTTTGTCTTCTCCATGTCATCTGTAATTGAAAGTAAATGCTGAAATTATTCAGTGTTCTACTGGAATACCGAAATGTGTAATTGCTAACTTTTTAAGTTCGTGTTCTGAATATTTCCTTTCTGTTAAACTTTTATTTTTGGACTTGATAGTGAAGTAAACTCCGCAGTAGCTCTAGAACTTGAAATGTCTTTATCATGTACAAGACAACAGTAGCAGAATTCCCTGCTTGTTAAATTCATGTCAGTGTCCTAAAGATGTTTCCAGACATATGTCACAGGTCAGACAGTAGATCTCAAGGAGATACATTTTTGGTTTTGATCTGTCAGTCACAAAACGGTGGTGTTTGGAAAGTCTATGACAACTGTCGATTCTATTCATTTTTTCAGAAGATTTCAGAAGGTGGTGGTTTGTTAACCAGTATTTTCACCTGTTCATGTGTTTAACTCATCAGCGAGTGTAACAGAATTCAGTTGAGATTTCTTTTTTTGCCATCTGCCATGTGGTTACACTTCTCAAAAGCTCGATTTCTGTCTATAAACTGATCTCGGATTCCTGCGAGCTTAGTGCTGGGCTGGTTGCCAGTACCTGAAGACCCAGTGTCTTATACTGGATGCTGCATCTGGCAATGGAAAAAATGTGTAGAAATACATGGATCAGATTGACGGTAACTGCATTTTATTTGTGTCGATGGTCAGGCCTTTCAGTTTGTCATGCCTAAGTGATGAAGGACTTCTGCTGCAGGCAAATGCAGATGAGAAGAATAAAGTCTATTTTGACACTTTCTCAGACTTGACATTTCTGCCCTAAAGCCTCAGGTGAACAACCAATCCAACAGCCCTGTTCCTTTCAACTACCAGTGAAGGCTTGAATGGGCAGACTCTACACCTCTCACTATGGATAGTGCAGCCGGGCTTCAGCTGTGGGCGTTGGTCTCTGAAGGATTCCCGGTAACAGCGTGCCCTTCTCCAAAACAGGTGGCGGGGGGATGCGAGTGGGGCAGGTGCTGTAGCTGCGCTGCCTTTAGGTTTGTTCAGCAGCTCTATGTCACACTGGTTTTCCCTAAGCAGAGATCAAGAGTTTGGATGACAGAGGAGGAGGGGGTACAAGTCCTTCCATGGCCGGGTTTGCTGCATGTGAATGCTAGTACTTGTGATACAAAAAAAGTGTTGCTTATTACTAAGCAATAAGTTACCTAAATAAATTTCAAGATGTTGTTTCTCTCTTGCTCATACAAGTATGAACCAGTGATTATTGGCCATTGCTACTCTTTGGCTGGCCTTTGGCTCAAATTTTAATGGTGTTGTCAGTCTTAATTCTCTTGGTTACTGGTGTGTGTGTGTGTGTGGAGGGGGCTGTTTCCTTTCGTTGAGAGACATTGTTTGGGTGTTGCTTTCAGTGCTGTGGTAGGTGAAGTCTTGTATGTTGATGTCCCACAGGGTCATGTTAGTCTGATTCAGCTCTTGTATTTTTTAAATTTGGTGGTCACCCTGGAATTGCATTGCATACTTTAAATCCTCTACTCATCACAGTCCTCACAGTGCCCTGTGGAGGATGAAAACTGAACCCTGGGAGCTCACCTTTTTTTTTTGTGTGTGTGTGTGTGTGTGCAGGAAGCAAGATAAATGTTACATAAATTCCTAGGGTAAAGAAAACTGTGTTAAAGAACTGATCTTGGGGTTTTTTTATTCCTGTTGTGGGGTTGTTTTTTTTTTTTTAGAAGGATGCTGTTGAGATCACTGAACTACATTTTTTCTTCTTTAATACATAATACAACTGAAAACAAAACTCCTGCTGACATTTTTAAGTGGTCCGAGCCCCATTTTAGGTCCGAACACCACTTTAGCTCATAGTATGAAGAAATAAAGTGCTTGTTTTAAATGTCCGCCTGCCTCGATTCACTTGGTGATGCTGAAGTGGCCACTGAATGTTTGTGCATGAACAGGTTAATTTAACTCTTTAAGCTCTATTTTCATATCATGTGGGCTACAACAGAATTGTTGTTTTATTGTGTTTTCAGGTATGTGCTTCCAGCGTGCTGTGCCCTTGGCTGCACTTTCACAACTGGCTTCTGGAGACAAAATTACCTCATTCAAGTTTAAATGCCTTTTAAAAAGGGGAGAAGGAGGAGGATGATGTTATTTTTAAACTAGATGAATTTACTGATGTGGTTTAGTCTGGTCCCAGACGGGCTGGAAAACATTGTGGTGCAAGAACAAGTATGAAGGAGGGGGAAGAGCTGTTGTGAAACCACAGCATGCATGTTCCCATTGCCATGTGTAGTTTAAAAAAAAGAGAAAAGCCCTTAGAAATACCAAGCTAAACTTTTCAACAAATCTGGCTTTCCTAGAGGTGACCTGTTCATTCCCTTCGATACAGGTGAGGTGCAGTTAAGTGTCTGTCCCCAGCACTTCAGTGTTCATTTACTAGGAAAAAGGACAGCAACGGCCTTGAAGCATGAAGTCTGTTCTTGCTTTGGTTGACTCTGGTTTCGTCCCCTAGGTTGGCTGACTGTGGGACCCACCCTCACCAACAGCAACTTCAATGCAGAAACGTACTCTTCGTACTTCACAGCTCCAAATTCCCACCTGACGGGCTGTACCGAAGAGATTGAGAGACTTCGGCCCAAGTCACCGCCGCCCAAGTCCAAGTCTGACCGGGGAGGTGGTGCTCCACGGGGAGGAGGAAGAGGAGGGACTTCAGCAGGCCGAGGAGAAAGGGGCAGAGAGAGGAACAGAACTAACTTTCGGGGTGAGAGGGGTGGCTTCAGAGGGGGACGTGGAGGCACCCATAGAGGAGGCTTCCCCACCCGCTGATGACTGTTAGGAAATTACTTCTCCCCGCCCCCACCCTGTGCCTCCTCTCTGAACCTTTTTCTTAGTCTTGGTGTGAATTATTCCGGGCACTCAAGCTAGATGACTTTTAAAATAGTTTTTGGTGCACACAGTTACAGCTAGTCTGCCTTCCAGCGACCCCCCGGCACATCACCTCGCCTGGCAGGCAGGGTCCTGCACCGGACAGCGCTGACCTCGGCCACCTGACAGCTGCTGTGTCACAGCAGAGAGCGCCATCTCTTCAAACCACGGGTAGGACTGCAGTGAAGATACTTCCTCTTTATGAACCTTGCAAGGTGTGGGCTTTATTAACTGTCATTTTCTCCAAAACACGAATTCCTCCTCTTTGGAGGATCAGGTTTGGACTGACTTGGATTAGTATGATGGAGTGGGCATGAAATGCAGTTCTGAATTGCATGGTCATAGCAGACTTACTCTTTTACTCATGGAAGAAAAAGTGCCGTGTCTATATTGACACGTATTTTAACTTCTCTGAAACCAAGGAGCAAATTGAATAAATAGAATTCTATTTTTTCTTATTTGGTTTAAATTTCCCAAATTATTCCTGGGAATAGGGAACAAGTTCATTTTTTATTTTTTTTTTCCATTTGGGGTGTATGTGCGTTCACTTTCATGGCTGTAGTGGGGAGAGCGGTAACTCTGTGCGGTGGCGTGTTGTGCTTCATGGAAGGCAGGACGTGATGTGTTGATAGGCAGTCCAGAACGTTGCCATGGGTCTGGATTGCTGCTTGGGTGGGGATTTTCACCCAGCGTCTGTTCGCAATAGCCTTGTCCTTTGGTAGGGAAGCCAGTTCTGTTGCAGAAGCATTGCAACGTAAGTCGTAGAAAGACCTCGTTGGAGGTTGTACTGGAACTGCGAGGTGATGGTGTCAGCGAGAGCTTCCTGAAGATAATCACCTGGGTAATGAGGGCGCGGTCGTGGCACAGAGCATTTTGCTTTGCCTGTGGACATTGCGTGCATTGGAAATAGACCGTTGGTGATCAGCTCCAGCGTACAGAGTGACAAGAAAGCAGTTCACTTCATGTGTACAGTATCTGGTTTTAGCAAAACCACAGCTCTGAAGTTCCTGCTCAGTACGTGGTAGCCTGAACCAACCTGACTGTTGAAGTCTCAAAACTGTAGGTGGTGGAAAACTGGCTTTTAAGTCTCATAACGTTTCTCTGTTGAAGCCCAGCTTTTAAACAACTGTCCTGTAAAGTAGTAGATTATTAAACTTGTTTGTCAAAGCTAATGTTGAAATACTTTTCTTAATAGTGTGTGTGAGTTTGTTCTCCTTGAGGTTTTGGAATTGCTATGCTTGACTGTGGTTCCCTCCCTACTGTTGTAAAAGAGCAGGCAGTAACTAACTGTTGTTCTGGTGTGTGAAGCCTTAGCAGAGACGTTTTTAGGGGCTGGCCAACTTCATGGCCTTGGTAGTGTGCTCAGTAAGGGCGCGCTGAAGTGCAGTTGAAACTTGCCTGTAGTTTCCTTTTTGTTTCTTCTGTGTTGTATTTGCACATCTGAAGAGTGACTGGATTGGGGTGGGTGGGTGTGGTTGGGCAGTGTTGTAAGCATAGGGCTCATCTGTCAGTGAAGTCTGACAAAGCCTACCGGGAACAGCATCTGCTAGAAGTTAGATGCCACAGTAAGAAATCTTTCTCCTGATTTTGCCCTAATCATGTTCTTACTCAAAAAGTAAATACTGGAGCCACTTAACCTTAGGAAGGTTGCTAAAGTAGTATAAAGAAAAAAAAAAAACAAACACAACAACCCCCCCCAAAAACATATTGCTTCTGTGTGCAGTTAGATCTATCTGGATGGGCCAGCTTCACCAGGGAAGGGTATGTACATGTTGTTAACAAGCAACTGACCTTCCTTTTTTTTAATTGAGGTTAATGGATGAGGAACTAGAACGTCCTCTATGAAGACAGACACCTGCTGGTTATAATCTGAAGGTGGCGTTTCACCCGTGATAGCTTGCCTGTAAAGGTAGGACAGGGGTGCATGGGCGTGTGCACCCCAAGGCTTGGTGTCGCGTACTTGTGGCTGGGGAGATGATACTTAGAAAACCGTGTGGTGAGGCACCATTTCCTGTTCCCTCCCAATTATACATAAAACCATCTGGTCATTTTTTTAATCACTGTTGATTTGGACCATATCAAAAGTGGCGTCTAGAGATGAAAAGCTTTTAATTGCATTACCGGTTGTCAGTTAATTTCTCGGTTGTAATGCTTTAACAGGAGGAGGAGGATAATGCTCATCAGTGAACTGATGAATATTTCATTTACCACAAGTAAATGAAGACTTAATTTGAGCATACTGTCCTTGAAGATAAAAGCCTAACAAGTTTCTTCCTTTCCAATTTTACTAAATGCATAATGCCCCTGATCTGATTTGGGGTGCCTGTCTAGATCTTGCCCTGTCTTTCCCCTCTGGAAGAGGCTTACAGTACTTTGAGTATCTTACACCCTCTATGAATTAAGTGACAGAGTTGACAGTTACACTGATGAGATTCTCGGGATGTCTTAGCTTTTAGCTTCAAAGGGATTTTAAGACATCGGTCAACTGTAAATCATTGTGTGTAAATCCAGCCATCGGCTCAAGAATTCTTTCCACTTTCCGACAGCGATGAGTGTCAGAAGTTGGTTGAAACGCTGGCTGCGCTGTGGAGGTCAGCGGGCAATTGATGCTCTCAGGGCTTCTGAGGTTCTTCCCCAGCACAGTATCACAAACACAGGCTCATTGTGTATGTTCGTAGATACTGAACGCGTTGTTCAGTGGAGTGGAATTCCAGCTGCAAACTAAAGAACAATTTTGATCTGACAATGGAAGTTAAATGGCATTAAGTCAAGGGATTAATTTTAGAATACTCAGATGTTTTAAAATAGAAATATCCAGAGTGCACTCTAAAACAGAATAAATGAATACTTCAAGCCCATTACATAGAAAACATGTGTAGGTCTTGTTTTTTCAAATGTGTTTTTTTTAAGGGTACATTGAATAACTGAAAGTGATAGGTGATGGGACCCACTGTTCCTGTATGTAGTAGAAAAAATTTCTCCTTCCAAAATGGGTCAAGTTGGTGGCAATTTTATTGCTGTAGTAGAAATCACCCAGTGTAATGGGATGATGGTCAACTTCATAACATGGAGGAAAGCTTGCTAATCCTTTTCAGAATAGGGTCATTCTCATGGATGAAAAAGCAAGTGGTAGCTAAGTACTGGGGTGAAACATGAAGTGATTTTGAGTGTAATTATTGCAGCAATTAAAAAGGAAAAAAAAAAAAACCCTACTGATTTGAGTATCAGAGTCCTGCTGTTTCTGCTGGAGACAAGAACTGCGCTTGTAACATGTCTGTGTGGTAACTTCTGATTGCTGTAAGAGCTCCTGTATCTGGGTGGTGCTTCAGCCATTATGATGTCTAAATGTATGTAAAATTAACTGTATGTGGAAGGCTCAAGCTCCAATGAATTAGCTACGCAAGAGCTTTTCTCTTGCTATACCTTCGTTCTGGGCAGTCCGGGCTCGCCGCAGGCTTTGCCAGCACGCAGGTGCTCCAGGAGGAGAACAGGCTGCCCCAAAGCAGTTGGTCAGCGTTGCTCGCGTCGCCCGAACGCACCAAGTAGAAGATGCAGATGGTTGCGGTGCAGACGTGGTCTTCTGGCCAGCAGCAGACTCGTGGAATAAGGTAAGGAAAGGGGTTCTGAGAAAGCGTGGCTGAAGCAGCTGTCTCGGGGAGCAGCTTGCCAGCTTCCTGCCTCTGAGGGGAAGTGTTCCTTCGCCGCACTTGACATGAGCATTTTTCAGCAGCTGAGCACAAACATTTCCCTAATTATTTTGTCTTACCGTGTGAGAATGGCTGAATCCTATTTCCTGACTTGGTAAGTGCTTGTTCTGAAACAGTTTACTTGCCAGGCTGTTTTGGCACATTTGAGACTTGTTTTGAGCAACTTTCCTCACCGTAACTGGGATGATGGTAAAGTGGAAACGCTGAACAGTCTGCGAGGCCAGATAAGCTTGCCTGTTGTTAAAGTCAGTTTCCAGTGCTGGTTGTCCTAAAGCACCCTCTCTAGTGACCTGGGGTACTAGTTTTAGGTGCTACTGTTTAAGAGGTGTTGCAATAGGTTTTGGCAGAGGCTGATAGCATGAAAACTTAAGAGAACTTAGAATATGAAAGAATAAACACCCACATGATGATTACATTTAATAATTGCTTATATCTTTACACATAGAGTTGCTGGTGTCATTTTACAACGTACCCTGATTTGGAATGGCAACAAATACTTTTTACAGGGTAATGCTTTCAGCTAAAAGTGCTCGTCTTGGCAGCTGAGCTCAGCCTGAGGATCCTTTTGTAATACAGCCACTCACTTTACAAGCTCTCAGTCAATGCACAACTGTTTTGATAAGCTGTCAAACCAAAAAATATGCATCTTGATGGCTTGGATAGGAAAATTATTAACTCTAAGAAGCAACGAACATGTTTAAAGGCACTTTTTTTTTAAATGAGGCCCAAGTCTTGTACTTACTTTTAAGGGTTTTTTGCTTTCTTTGAAACACTGATTTTTGTAACAATAGCTTTTCAAGTTTGGAAAAGTTCAGGCCTCACGTGCAGAGGCATTGGTCCTAAAGATACAAACAAACAGACTGATGAAATATCTGAGGTAAACAGCTCTTTCAAAGACACTGTCTGGCTTTCTAAATTCTACCTTAAATATACTAGTATTAGCAGAGACTTTTATTTTTCAAAGCAGTGACTGTTGAGTAAATCAGCCACAGGAGAGGGGGGTCACTCTGCCACAGAACTGGTATTAAACAAGGGCTGACTTTGTAGCACCACAAATAACCTTTGGTTAATGTGTCAACTGTCTTACAGTTGACCTGCCACTGAAATTTGGAGGGACAGATGTTTATCCAAGTTGTACTTGGAATATTCCAGTTAGCAAATGTACTAAACAAAACCGAACATGTTCAGTTTTGAAAGTAGAATTAAATAGTACGCTAATTAATTGCTGCCCTTAAGACTAGAGAATTGTACTGTAATAGTGTGTGGCATTATCTGCCAAACGGGAAACAAGGACTGTTTGACTGCTGTTCTTCCTGCGGCCTCCTGCTGTTCAACTTACAAACCAATAACCCTGGGTTAGGTGACCCAGAGCTCTCTTTCCATAGAAAGTAATGCTTGTCCCTTCCAGGAAAAAGGGGATTATATTTTAGGGAATAACTTCGAAGTATTCACATTGAACTACATGATTACTGCAAACCTGATTCAACCGTATGCCCTCATTTCGAGAAAGCAGTGGGGTTTTTTCTTCTTCTGTATGGATTTTTAGCATCTTTCCTGGCTCTCATACAACTTACGGCTAGCAAAAGGAATAATTAAAGAGTTTTCTAAATTATATTTTAATAAATGCATACCATATGCTCTTAAGGACTGACAGTTTGAAATCTGGCACTTCACTTAAAGAAGGAGTCAGGACTCCCAGAAGATTAATACCTGAGTGCAGAACTTCCTACTCTACAGCTTAGCAAGTAAGCTAAATACTCAGTGAGAGGTGGTGTGAAACGAAACTGTACAAAGAGAGCACAGAAAAGGTTCACTAAAGCACAGAGAATGCCCGGGTATGGTGGAGCTGCGGGCCAGCCTCCAGGCACCAGTGACTGTCCCTCCTGCAAAACCAAATTATAGTTGAGTTTCCTTAACTGAGCAGCTGACAGATCTCTTTGTGAACGCAGCATAAGAAATCTATGTAAGAAGCTCCTCCATAAATATTCTTGTCTTCTACTAGGAACTGTCGGAAAAGCATCTCTGGCTGCTCCCGTTGTTTCACTATAATCAGCTGAAAAAGGAGATACACACATTTTTAGGATATAATCATACAAAAGGGCAGTACAGTTTTCCTGTATCTATTACTGTATGGTCTTGAGGGGGGGGAACCCAAAACTAATCTCCCCATTTCTGTAGCTGTATTTATGAACACAGGGGAGAGAGAGACACTAGTGTGAATTAAGGTTCGCAGAATAAAATGGTAACCTTTAGCCTTGGCTACCTCTGGAAAATCTCTTTTAATTAAGAATTAAACACCTTGGAGATGCATGTGCCTGCAGTGCATGCTGGAACTCACCGATGTACAGGAAACTTCCTGATATATAAAACCTTGTATAGCTACAGGTAAGTTTTTTTTTGTCAAAGCCATAGTATTCTTCTGAACAGGTATGAGGAGTGAGGTGAGGCAGAGTGAAGTTACCTTCATAGTGTAGGGCTTTTGGCTCTGGAGATGCTCCAGTATTGACTTAAGCTTCTTAGAAAAGGGATTGTCCAGGACAGGCAGTGACGTCTGTTAGAATGAAAGAATGGCAGGGTGTGAGACTCCAGTCACGTCTCCCACGAATTCCTACAAGACTAGCTGCTGCTATTTGTGATGCAAGTTACTGTGGATTTCATTCTAAACTGGGAAGTGTCAGCTCCTTCAGAAAAACATGTCTATCATCATAAAGACTCCTTTAAGCTGTTTTTCAGTTTAAAATAATCACTATATGAAAATTCATTATCAGGCAAAACTTTACCTATTGCAAAGTGGTTTGTTCCAATTTTAGCAATACACATTCAATAGGGCTTTAATATCCACAACAGTGAAAGCTTAAGAAGGTTTAAAAGCGTTGTAAAAGCTTTTCTCCCCTACGTGTTCAGAGTGTAAACGCTTGAAGTTTTATGTACGTAAAGACTCTCCTGGTGTCTTAACACCTTCTGCTGAATGATGAAAATCTGCCTCACTTGTTTCTCTGAGCAGCAGTCTGGTCTTAAACAAACATGAATTCTGAAAAAGGGACTAGTCTCCATCTACTCACAGCCTCGGTGCTGATGTGTGCGAAGGACGGCACGTTGAAGAGCCCCTGGATGAGCTCGGGGGGCGCGCCGACTCCCAGCCACAGGAACATGCTCAGACCGTTGGCCAGAAGGAAGGCTCCTCCTTCCGAGAGACGTTCCTCAGAGCAGCGGACGGCAGCTGGGACACAGTCACTCTTCAGATCCAGGCTGTGCTGTGGGGCAAGAATACACAAGAGTTGTAGACTTGGTGGCTTCAAAAGCTCTGATCAGATACTGAAAGTAACTGTTGAAAGCCTCAGTGCCTCTTAGAGTGGTTGCTTTCCCGATTAGAGGAATTAGAAATCAAACCTCCTCTTCAGTTAGCACACTGCGTGCACAGGAAGACCCGCCCTAAGTGGGGAGACCCTTGCACACCAGTGTTGCCTTCAGTAAAGCCGCCATCTTCCATCAGCCTGCGCAAAAACCTTACTAGAAGTACAGCGAGATCCTAGAGGATGCTGATGTGAAGGATTGAGAGAGAATGTTACTTCCCCATTTTCCATTAAACTCGAGGTTCTACCCTCCCTCCTCAATTTAGTTCAACTAGCAACTACTTCCCAGTAGGAGTGTAACCCAGCATGGCACTGTAACAGTTGCCCAGCAGACAGAAGCGTTTCTGCATCTGCACAATTATAAAATCACAGCATCCTGGAACCCCTTTTACTGGAAATGAAAAGAGGTGCAAGCAACGTACAATGGGCAGAAGCTGGGGATAGAAGAACAGCTGGGTGTCTGCTACCCCCATGGACATGACCAGCTGGCGGTGGTAGGCTCGCTCATCCGTGGGAATTTCTGGTCTGCCAACCAGCACGCAGCTCTTCAACAGGCAGTTCATGTAGGCTGGCAGCACCTTCATGGCATCCGGAAGGATGAGCTGCAAGGCAGAGGAAGCTTGTTGTTTAACAGAGCCCACAGCCTGGGCAACGGGAGCTGGACTTTCACTTACATAAACCACTGCTTGTTTTCTTTGATAAACAAGAAAAAAAAACCACACAGAAAATTTTAATATGTGCTATTTCAAAACAAACAGGACAGCTCTGAATGGTTAGTACATCTAATACAAGTCCTGCAGAAATTACTGGCCCTGTTGTCATCTCCCTCTCATTTTTAGGTACTAAATTAAAGGGGAGTTGCATAGGAAAAGTGGGTGTGTTTTCTCTGAACAATTCAGGAGGGAAACAAAAGGTCCACAGTAAGTGTCTCTTTGCTGTTGAATAATTTAGAAGAAAACAACTGTTGCTTTTACTGGAGCATTGAATTTTAAGTCATATAATTAGGATGTGCTAATAATTCTATATATTCAAGAAGAAGAAAGAACTGGAAACTAGAGTTTAACAGGGATCAGAGGAACTAATCTAAATCAAAGGCCTCCCCTATTAACTTCAGCACTAATGTACACAATGGCCACTTGTCATTCAAAAGTGTCAGAAAGCCAGCCCTTCCTGCTATCTTCTGAAGTGCCTCAAAATTTGAAGGAAACAGGGAAATACTTTGAGTGCGACAAGAAAACAGAAGTTAAATTCAAACGCTTACACAAGTTGGATTTAGTTCAGCCATCTTTGGGTATTTGTTTGAAACAGAAAAATACTTTTGTCAGAAACAGTTGCTGAAAGGATTTGAAAACACCTTCCTGTTGGTCCAGTCAGACCTCCCCAAATGGGCTAGAAATAACAGACATGTCTTAAATTGAGAGAATTTTCAAGTAGGGTGGAACAGAAGTAGCCAGGTTCCTAGAGCTTCATACGACCCTTGGGTAAACACAGGGGTTCACAGACTGCTACTGTAAGTCATCCCGGATTCTTTTCCCCCAGGAGTCTGGCCCCCACTTGACATCAGGTATGTATCGCTGCAGCACACGTGAGACCTACCTCCAAATACAGATGGTTTGCTGAGATACAATGTTCTTTTTTTTTTTTTTCCTGACAATAACAGTCTTATTTGTCAGAAATTAGAATACTAAAACCTTTAACAATGTAAGAATTAAAAAGGAAAGCTCTGCCAGTCAGCACATAATCCCAGCAGGAAGAAAAGGGCTGTCTAAGCTCCTTTGTGTGAACATGATCGTCAGTTTCCTCAGAGGCAGTGACGTTTGTTCCGGAACACCAGCCTCCATGCGCTGTAATTGCTACCCTCGAATCCCACCTGTCATTAATTATAATTGAAAGAAAAGGAAAAGTCTGTCCTGAAATCTTCCTTTTGGCACTGCTGATGTCGCAGGGGTGTCTGTTCATCTGCTGCAAAGCCTGGCTGGGGGAGGACCGAGTTGGGGTGGGTTTTACCTGGCTTACTGCCGACGGGCTGGCACAGTTCTTCCTGTAACACGCTAGCATGTGAGCTGTCTGATTCACCAGGATCTCTCTGACCGTCTTCAGCGGTTGGCTCAGAACAGCTTTAAAAGCTACACAGGTGGAAGAACAAAAGAGCATGCTCAAGATGGGGACATCCTCTTAAAGTCTGGCTTCTGACCTGAGGTCTACGGCTGCTTTTTAGTCTCTTTTACAGACGAGGAAGTTTATTCACGTTTGCCCCAAAAAACCTCACCAACCCCCCAATAGGGTGTCCATTTCCACTACTGTGCCTATACAGCTTTGGGCATTACATATTTCTAGCTACCTTCACAAGCATTACTTTGATGGCATATATCTAAAATATGTAATCTATTTGTCTTTCAATTTCATAGCACTGCAAGAGTTGCTCAGGCTTGGAGCAGCAAGTTACAAACCATGACTTCCCACTAGGTAATCACTTCAGCTCCCTTGCCTTTCCCTCCCTCTGCCCCAAACAAAGAAAAGAAACAAAATCTGTTCTAACTTTACCTGACTTAGCGAAGAAGTTGATAAGCGCATCAGTCTCACAAGTCTTGTAGACATCCGCTAACTGGGAGCTGCAGTTTAAACCCACGTTGTGTATGCGAAGTCTTCTCTGCCCGCCTATTGATGTGTACAGGACAGCACACTGCAACAGAGGAGAAAAATCACCATTTATTTTTGTTTTAAAATTAAGTTAATTTTTAGAATTAAAGCAGAAGACTTCCTTCATGCAAGAGCCACCTATTTTGTGTGTAAAAGGCAGATAATTATTTCTGAAGACAGCCTAGCCTTGCAGTGCTGCTGCAGTGCTTCTGTTGTCTATAGGACCAACACACCTGTTTTTACTTCATGGAAGAACATTAGACATTATAAAAGTTACTGATCTTATAAAAAAATAATGATATGCCTGATTGAAAGGCTTCTTGCTCTCATTTGCTACACACTGATGGTATCATGTGAAAACAAGAGACCACCGATTGTAAATGTGTAAATCCTACTTTGTAATTGTGTAATATCTGAACAGTTCAAATAAATGTACCTGCAAAGATGCCATACAAGAGAGGAGAAGCTTGCTGAGAATCACATCATCTCTTGGCAAAAACCACCACAGAAAAACTTCCTAATCTTGAAAAGCTGAGTGGTTCTTTTTACATGAAATTATGAAATGAAACAAAAGGTCCTGGTAACTTCTATATCTTGCATTAAAAACGTCCTTATGACTCCAATTCTACTTCACTATAACGTTGATACTTGACTATAACGTACGATCGTTAAATCACGTATAACATACACACAACATGCCTGCAGGGCTAACGCAGACTCCAAGCTCCTGCAGCCTGCCTTGTGTTAGATACTTCCATGAGTGTCCCTCCCATGAACAAGCTGTACATGCAACGGCTACACGGCCTGTACGTCCCTGTCACTGCCGCACCACGGCCCGAGGAAGCGACTGCGGCCGTACCAAAGCGGATGTTTCAGTGCTGTATTCATACAGGGGTTAACTGCTGACCTAGGGAATGTATTTATAGGGGCGAGCTAAAAGCCAAGCAGAACAGAAATAAAACATAGAGATAATTCTATGGCTTAAGTTTAAAACCTTGCAAGCTGTAACATTTTCTGTCATTCAATGAGAAAAAGGTCCTGGCTAAACATCTAAAATAGTGAACAACCTCCCGTTATCTGACAACGGGTGGGATATGCCCATTCCTAATGAACGATGAATCCCAAGTCTGTCTGTTGGCAATTTAGGCAGAGAAATACCAATTATTGCCCAAGTGGCATTGCCAGAAGCTGTTACCACAGTCCCCTGTTGCGGGCTAAGGCAGGAAGCAAAGATTTAATCAGCTCTGGAACAGCCTGGCATTCTCAAGGTAGGACTGAAGCTCCTGAGGCACCGGGCAAAACTCCCGTGCCAGGGGTGCTACTGCGGCCAGCCCGCCCCGAGGTCGCAGGGCTGTCCAGCTGAGCGGAGGGACACGCAGGGCGTTCCCTGCTCCGCTCACAGACCAGCACCACTGCATGCGAGAGAGGGCCCTGCAGTTTCACGATATTACACTTAAGGGTTTTTGTTTGGGTTTTTGTGGGTTTTTTTTTGTTGTTTTTTTTTGTGTTTTTTTTTTTTTTACCTGAATTAGGGCTCCACTGTCTTCATTCAGTTTGTCATCATGTTTGAACTCCACTGTCACTGCCTTGTCACAGTCAACTGCTGCCATCTCTACGTCTGTGGTGTTGTTCATGTAAATAGCACCGAAGAAGTCTGTAGCCCTAAAGCCTACAGCCAGATTAAAATAAAACAAATGTATAATTTTATTTCAAAATGGCAAATAAAACGGACATTATTTTGTGATTTTCTTTTTGTGGTCAGCCAATTTTGCGTACTGAAATGGGAACCATTTCCCCTCAGGGGGTCCCACCAACTGTCCTTGCCCGTGGCATTTTTTGACAGCTGGGTAACAGGGAAAAGCTGACCGGCCATGAAGTTGCCCTGATGCCGAGACCACCCAGAACCTGTTGATGTGGCCACTTTGTGTATGTGTGTGTGTGTGTGCGTGTGTTTCTCAAAGACTTGCACTTGAGGTAAGAATGAACGCTTGAAAAGCAGACACAGTAAATGTCAATCAAAGTATGAAAATGAAGGAACGTGTAAGTGTCCAGAGCAACACTTTTTTTATACAACTTACTTGCAATCCAGGATGCGGGCACAATGATCAGAAGCTTTACTCATATTTCAAAAGTCAGTGTTACGGAGGGAGGCACATACAGGAAGAAGAACAGTCATGCCTTTTATCGGTCTATCCAATTACTTTTCAAGAGGTACATAACGAGGTTAAAACAGTTAGCGTGACCTCTCCAGCACTCTATTATTTAAAATTACACGTTGTCACATGCATTTCTGTTTATTTTCATTCCCAATGGGTACCATTACCTGTACTTGTCCGAACCCTCATTATTGCATCAAATCCGGTCTTCTTTTCTACGTCCTTCCTGAGGTCACTCAAGAACTGTGGGCTGTCAGCATCCAGCTGGAAAGGCGAAGCAAAAGCAGCAGCTGACCGCTGGGTGGCAGCAACAGCAGAACCCCAACCCGTGACGCCCCGCGCCCCCCATCCCGCCATCACCTCTGTGCTTTCCACATTTAACATCTCTCGTTTCCCTTAAAGAGAGAGAAACAACGTCGGCTGTTGTTTGGTTGACAAGTGTCCAGCAGTTCATCACGAAGCTTGGACACCCAGAATTCCTGTTCAGCCAGATCAGCTCCACCAACATCCATCCAGCCCTTCCCCTTGCAGCCTCGCCAGGGTTCCCTGGCGAGCCCCAAGAATTACAGAGCAGTCTTGCCAACTTCACAAAACTGCTCTTGCAGGTCCGCTCCTGACACAGAGAAAGACCCCTCTCCCCAGAGAGGTTCCCATGACATTTTAAACAAGTGGTGGCACGGCTTTTTTGGGGGTCTTTATCACAGGCACTTTCATCTGTATTTACAGGAGTAATTGACTTCCCTGCTCAGATGCCAGCATAGTTAAGGAATTGGATTTAATTTTAAGATCCCAACCAGCTTATTAGTGGGTCAAGTTTGAGGCTGGATCTGTCATTGTTAAGTTTGAATTTTATCCCCTGGAGTTTATAAGTAAGTTTTCTAGAGTCGCTCTACTTTTACGTTAAACATCAAAGCACACATTGAAATGAAAAGAAAAACAACCAATCCCCACGTGTTACTATCCGAAAGGCAAGAAACCTGCATCACTTACCTGGAAATTGTTGTACTTGTACAACGTTCCTCCAGTGTACAGCGTGACGAGACCCATGGAGGCTACGTCCACATACTGATTTGGGAAGAGGAACAAATTCACGCAGCAGCCGTTGGCCACACACTCCCTGGCTAAGGCCTCATAAGAATTTACCTGGGGCTGGAAGAGTGTCTGCACAGAATTAAAAAAAAAAAAAAATACATACAAGTGTCATAACAGTCAATACTGTTGGTAGCCAACCACAATCCAAACACCCTTTTGAAGAAAAAAAGATGGAAGTGGAAATTTTATGGGAGACTGGGATTTGACTCCAACCGTTGCCCCTGCCCATATACTCATGTGTGGGGAACCAGCTCAGCGCGCTCTCGGAGAACGAAAGCACTGAGCAGGCAGCACAGGCTCTTGATGGGTGGAATTATTTGCTGCTGGGGGGTTTCCTCTACCGACGGGAATGGGTGCTCTGGTGTTCTGGCGGGCCAATACCGATACACGTACGTAACCAGGGCACAGGGAGAATGGGAATATTACATAGTTAAACAACACATCTTTTACAAAGAAAATAAACCAAAAAAGATCAAGGCTCTATTAGAGAAATTCAGTGTAACAGCAGTCCCTTGTTAGCTCAGAGTACAAAATACCTTTTCTTTATCTGTATTGAGTAGTTTTTTGTCATCTCTGTTTCTCAGCTTCCCTGGTGCTTCCGCAGTTGGCAATGAAGAGTGGAAAATAAACAATTTCCCAGCGCATTCTGCAGCCTGTTGCAAAGACACCATATTGGCATATTAATTACTGCTAAGATAAACAAGCCTAATTTTCATACGCTGTGGTATCTCAGAGAACAGTGTAAACTTTCTGCAAGTTCCTTAGGGCTCAGTAATTCATTCAGAGACTCAAAGGTTGATGGAAGTAAGTCCTGAAACAAACTGGGAATTTTATGTCAGGAGGTAACTCGGTCTAGCACACAGCTATGCTGGTTGATACACCATTACAGTAACTTCTACATAGGAACACTAAAATCTTAATGGGCAAAACTAGGAATACTCCTCTTGGGAGACTTTCCATTTGGATAATCAGCATTATGCAACAAGTACCAGAAGTACAAATACTACATTGGATAAAATTGAAATGAAATGTAATTTAACAGAAAAATTATTACTTTCAGTTCAGGCACAGTAGTTAGTGTTCACCACATGTTTTATAGATGAGCAACAATTACATTCCTGTACTAGATTCCACATTCAAATCCACACCAAAATGCAGGAGTATCAAAACTGGTGATGAACATTTCCTCCTGTCATTAAGAAATGAAATAACTGCCAGGTTTATTCAAATTTTTTGTTCTTATTTAGAACTATAATGAGAACACGATATTTACTGAGATGACAAACTACTGACAGAAACCCCTGAATTCCGAAGACAGTAACAACAGTAGCAGTACCGTGGGCATGTCTGTACTACTAACAAGCTTTTTCACCAAAATTTAGAAAAAGCAGTTTATCGCTTACTCTTACTATGGAGACAGCTAATGGGAATGAACAGCATAGGACAGACTATTTCAGCTAGAAGGGATCTACAACGATCATCCATAGTCCAGCTGCCTGACTGCATCGGGGTTGACCAAAAGTTAAAGAAGTGAAGTGAAACCTGATCAGTAATTCTGAGGTCTTCAGGTACTGAAGAAGTTGGGCGAGGGGACAGGAGGAGGAAAGAGGGATTTGTCCTTTTCCTGCTCCAGATTTAACCACGCATCCAGGTTAAAACTGCAGTGCCCAAAACTACAGCACAAGCCAGCTTTGGTACTCTTTCTCCTCCAGATCTTAAGATGTTAATGAGATAAAGATACTCCACATTTTGAAATAAGCTATAGCATTCTTCTGGGAAAACCAGAAATCTCTCTGCTATGGCAGAAATGCAACTGAAGACACTATCTGACTTTAAATAGAGCTGAAATTTCACCCCTCATATTTCAAGCATAGTCATCTTTAATCACAAATGCCAATTTCTTCAGTTCCTTTTAAGAAGCGTCCTGCTG